TCACGCATGGCATATAACTGACTGAAAGGGAAAGGGGCCTGAGAAAATTTGACACAGGACATATTGAAGACAAGAGAGAGAAAGGAAAATAGCGCATAACATACCTAATTGCGTAAATGGTTGACAGAACAGAGATTAGGAAAGAGCTATAAAGGACAGAAAATTGTAGATGGCAACGGTCACAAACGTCCTGAAGATACACAGTGCATAGAAGAATGAGATATCTCCAAAAAGTTCTTTTTTTAACTTTAACAGATAAGGTCAGTCTGTCTAATTTACTACTATATTTTTTGCTTATTGAAATAAGATGTATATCAGCGTCAAAACTGCGTATAAACGGTTCAAAGTTCATAGTTTTTTTCGGATTTTGTTCAAGTAATTTAAACTCAATCAAGGGCAGAGTGTTTTCGGCATAGTAAACACGACATTGTTGGCTACATCCCAGCATTTTATTTTTTCTTGTACTTCTTTTTGAAGCATATTTTATGAACAATTTAAAAAAAATTGTCTACTGTGGCGAAATAGATTTCGTTAAATGCTAGGTTTATCTATTGTATAAAAATATCTTCTCGTCTGAATTTCAGGGATGAGCTATGTTTATTATTTTGTTAAAAATAAATTAATCCCACGCAAGGCGATACCGCCAGTTTGAGACAATTACTGGCAGTGAAAGAGAATGATAAGATTTCAATTTCTGAAGATCATAGCTGGATGGGAAGCAAGAAGAGTTCCTCAATTGAGAAGTTCGAGAAAACAAATATAATAGGGCTTAGGATTACATTTAGCTATTTCAACAGTAAAACGATAAAACCTCGTTAGCAATCTAGTGGTACGCTTAAATTCACGCAATCGAGGGTACCAAAAGAGGAGTGTTTATTAGAAAAAACTGTCATGAAAATATTTATGGAAAAGACAGAAAGCCACGCCACGACAGTAGGAAAGTGACTGAAGTCAAGATGTCAGATCAGGACCGGTAACATTGTAAAGCCTTTTCTTTGGATTTTGCGAAGAATCTCCAGATATGTATCTGAAGCACCAGACCAGATATGGCAGCAATATTCAATGAACGGACGAAAGGTAGACACAGTGAACCAACTTCATAGCAGCAAACCTTGCAATTGATTCAATATAATATTTACATTATTCAGATGCGAAATATTTTGCTAATTTTCGTTATAACAACGTTCAGTTGTGATAATAATATTATATCTATCATTTGTAAGAAAGTTTGCAGATAAGTTTTTTAGTTAAAGAAGATGTAAAGAAAATTTTTTTGAGGAGATTGAGAGAGATTCAAGCCTCACCTCTTAATGTTTGACCTTAAAGAATTCTCCTTTATTGTGTACACAGTTACACACGAGACGATTATTTTACGTTTTCATGGTTAATTTAGCCGATCATCTGATGCGATTACGTTTTCTGCCTTCATTAGACCATGTCTAACACTGTCTTGTACTCCTCGGAATTCGTTGGGTTCATCACTTTAGTCATTTACACTATTCACATTGTTCGGACTATCTTCGTTGCCGTACTCACGACGTTTCGGCTGTTGTACGCTCTGGCATTCTTCAGATGATTTATATTTCGAACTGAACCCTTTATTTCGTCCACCGGGGTAGATTGTTATAGTTTTACATGTCATTCCACTTCCGGATATCTCAGTATCAGTTATTTCCCTTTAACTTACCTCTCCAAGTTTTTGCTCACCTCTGCTGTAGTTAGGTATTGAACCTACAACTCTTTGGGCCAATCGCTGGATTCAACCAACGCATTTATCTATTGGGAATTGCGTCGTTGAGGACATCAGGGTTTGAATTTTAGGGACTTATAAGCCTAATGTCTCAGTAACGACTGGTGGGCGAAATAACGGGTTCACTTCGAAAGTTCAATCACCTGAAGACGGCTGGAGTGTACATCGGTCGAAATATAATGAATCTGGCAACGAAGATGAGAACGACAGTTCGAACAATGTAAATAGAATAAATAATTACAATATCTCATCTCAGAAATAGAGACGACTCACTTTATTTTTTTCTAGCAGTCATACCCAGCTGGTCGATCAGTAAAAAGCGTTCAATTAGAATGGAGCAAAAACAAGATCATGTTTAGATGTAGCAGATTCTATCTTCAAGTACTTTCATTAAAAAAACGTTTTGAATTAGTGCAGTTACTGATATAACAGAAGCAATCTGTATTTATTCAATCGTATTTAGCTGAGGACATGAAGAGCTAAAACAGGCAACATGAAGACCCACTTCAGACGACAATTATTTTGGAGTTTTTGAAATTCAATTTGTCAGTATGCCACCAGGGAAGTGAAATATATAATATAAAAAAAATTGTAAAAAGTCTCCATTTTCCGCTATTTACGCAGGGTTTTACACAGTTATCAAGTTAAGTGACTGTTAAACAATCAACTTGTCGTTGGCTACAAGTGAGTGAAGTTTCTATTAGATTGCTTGAAAATTAAGCGAGATTTTACTTTAAAATTTGTGTTGAAATCTATTTTTGGTTTTTCGCTAAACGCAGTGGCGTAGAAATAAAAATGAGGTATCGTTGAGCTCGTCATGATGTATGTTACCTATATACCGAGTTTGAACGAAATCAGAGGGAAAAAATTGAATTCATCGATTTTTGATTTTTTTATGCTAAGAACCTATCTCTTACATTGTATAATGTATGTGCCAAGTTTAGTCAAAATCAGTTAGATGGATCTAGAGTGAAAAGGTATCATCATCAGACATATATATATATATATATATATATATATATATATATATATATATATATATGGCGTCACAAAATAATGTATGCACTCTTTAAATATTTATAGTTATTACAGTTATGTGAGAAAACTTATATGGATGAAAATATGCAAAACAGATGGACTGGAAGAAGAGAGACAGTTGAATACCCACATAGATTACCAGATTTGACACACCTGGATTTCTTTTTGTGGGGGTTTCTAAAAGACAAAGTTTACAGAAGGAAACCTGAAACAATTGCTGAAATGAGAGTAGCAATTAATGAAGAATGTGCTCAATACCAGAGGAAATGTTACTGGACGTTTGTAGGTCTATTTCTTCAAGATATGTAAAATGTATTGAACAGAACGGCAACCTGTTTGTGTACTTGATGTGAACTCATCATTATATAAACATTCTGCCATTGCTCCAAGTAGCTTTTATCTTATTAAAGTTAATTTTCTATGTTTTTTGTATATTTTACTCTCAAATTCTTTAAATGTGTATTCTTTCTGTTGTATTAATCTTATTTACAAGTCAAAATACATAAACTGAATAAGTTATAACGATTCAAGGAGTGTATACATTATTTGGGGACACCATATACATATATATATATATATATATATATATATATATATATATATATATGTGTGTGTGTGTGTGTGTGTGTGTGTTAGACGATATACGCAATTATATTATAGCTGTTGTTTGCTTGACTTTTATTTTTTAACGTATATGAACATTTCTGAAATTATGGCCATAGGTGACGTCACTCACCTCACCGTGTCAGCTCAGCAGTCGAGCACTGGTCATTGATTGTGGGGCGTCTGGCTAGAATTGTCTGTGGTAAGGCTAACGCAAATCACATCCACATTTAATGGAGGTATCAAGCACCTATCCACTAGTGAGTCCCTCTTAACACCGCATACAAATCTGACCTGGTATCGTAACGTCGCTAATTAAAAAACAGCAGTACAGGAAATGTGTAGCTGATAAGACGAGAATGTTCCAGTTGTTTCAGGCTAATGGTAGAGTTCAGGTGTGGCGCAATCCTCATGGATTCCATTTTTAAAGAGATAGTGAACACGTTGCTACAATTTGCATAATGCATTAACATGAAAAGGCACACAAAGATGGCCGGTGATAAAGCAGAAGAGAGACAACCAGCGAAATAAAGCGGGTGTGGGGGATAAATCGGAAGAGAGACCAGAGAAAGAAAGCAGTGGGGGATAAATCGGAAGAGAGACCAGAGAAAGAAAGCAGTGGGGGGATCAATCGGAAGAGAGACCAGAGAAAGAAAGAGGGGGGGATAAATCGGAAGAGAGACCAGGGAAAGAAAGAGGGGGGAAATCGGAAGAGAGACAAGAGAAAGAAAGGGGGGGATAAATCGGAAGAGAGACCAGCGAAATAAAGCGTCGGGGTGGAAAATCAGAAGAGAAACCAGCGAAGGATTGCGGTGAGGGGTGGATAATTCGGAAGAGAGACAATCAGAGAAGGAAGGTGGAATATAAACAGCGAGAAAGAAGGCAATTATTCATATGAAGAAACACACTGTGAGAGAGACATTAAGACATAAAGCTCAATTGGGGATTAAATCTTCCAATAAAGACAGACTTGTCTAAATCCAAAAGAGCAGAAGAGATTAACAGCGAAATTTAAATAAAAAAAGACCGCGACAAAGAGAAAAGCGATGGGCTTAAATGGAAAAGACAGAAATGATGGAAGACCTAAACTGAAAACAAAAACGTGGAATATTTTTAGAGAAATAATATTACAGATGAACGTGTAGAAAATCGATCGAATTTTATTCCAGATTTTGTCGCATCCGTCCTGGAAGGCCAGTCAAGGTATGAGAAAAGAGAAAAAAAATCCATTACTGAAGAGATTACTTAAACAAAAAGAGCGATAACGTCAATACTTGAAATTAAATGCAAGGACCCTTTACATTGACATGAAGGAGACTTACCCATTCAGTCAGGTGTATTGATTTTGTACACTGAACAAAATGAAGATTAAGAAAAAGAAGATAGTGGCTATAGTGTATATTTCTTAGACATTTTCCATAATTTACCTAATATTTAATTAGGAAGATATTTATGTAAGATAGCATGTGTTTAAATATATTAATTTGATTTACACTACCAAAAGACAAACAGGGTAAGAACCATTTCATATTTTCTAAAAAATAAATTGCCAACAGTTTGTACAAAGGTCGTTGGGCGATACTTTGTGATAACTATATCAAACATTGGGTCAATACTGCGCGTGGAAATAATGTGAATATTTTTGAGAAATATTCATGTTTCGGATTTTACATTTAAAAAGAAAGAAAGAAAGAAAGACGAAGAAAGAAAGAAAGACGAAGAAAGAAAGACGAAGAAAGAAAGAAAGACGAAGAAAGAAAAAGACGAAGAAAGAAAAAGACGAAGAAAGAAAGACGAAGAAAGAAAAGACGAAGAAAGACGAAGAAAGAAAAGAAAGAAAGAAAGACGAAGAAAGAAAGACGAAGAAAGAAAGAAAGAAAGAAAGACGAAGAAAGAAAGAAAGAAAGACGAAGAAAGAAAGAAAGAAAGAAAGACGAAGAAAGAAAGAAAGAAAGAAAGACGAAGAAAGAAAGACGAAGAAAGAAAGAAAGAAAGAAAGAAAGACGAAGAAAGAAAGAAAGAAAGAAAGAAAGACGAAGAAAGAAAGAAAGAAAGACGAAGAAAGAAAGAAAGAAAGACGAAGAAAGAAAGAAAGAAAGACGAAGAAAGAAAGAAAAGAAAAAAGAAGAAAAGAAAGAGGAAGTAAAAAGAAGAAAAGAAAGAGGAAGTAAAAAGAAAAGAAAGAGGAAGTAAAAAGAAAAGAAAAAAGAACAAGAAACATTATTTCAGCCGACTCAATTATCATGGAGGTGAGGTTACTGCTGATCAATTCAGTTCATAAACTGGTAAAGGGCTAGAAATTAATTGATACGTATTGAATTTTTTGTAATGTGATGAACTGGCCAGTTAAAATGTTCCTTTCAAAACTAAATTACATCATTTTTAGAGCTAGTATTTTCGTTTTTCCCCGAGATTACGAAAATGTTTTATTTCCCTTATTCACCCCCGGGTTGACATTTAACTGACGGAGGCCATTGGGGCGTAAAAGGGCCGAAACGTTGTCATAACAAAAAGATGAGGACAAATAGCCGGCATTTAAATAACATAAATGACAAGAAAGAATTTCTCGCAAGTTTACGTCATAAAACCTTATTTGAAAGAACAGTTCTATGTTTATAGAGGCGTGCGTATGGGATTTTTGACGAATGTACGACTTTATTGGATACATGCGATGTCAGCTCGTATACAGCGCCGGAGTTGATTAATTAACAAGAAAAATATGCAAACTCAAAGCCGATTCGCAGTGCTGTTAGCCAGGAAGATACAATTCTTACTCATCTGCACTCGGAAAATGACGAAAATGATCGACCCGGAAGAGAGATGTATTTGTATTATTTATATCAAGCAGATTGCAATTGCATTGTGTTTTGACTGCCATAAGATAGGAAGATTGTTGAACTAATCTTCCGTGTCGTAATTAAATTCCTATCTTGGGAAGTGATATTATAGGCTTCGGCTTATATCTGAATACCGGTTGCAGACGCCCGAAGAGTACTTACTTCCGCTCTGGGCAGACGATACCACCATGTCACACGATACAGGGACGAGCAAGTAGCTCATCTATGGGGCTGCGTCCTCTATACAGGTATTAAATTAGAAAAAATTGGAGACGGTGAGGCAGACAATTACTAGACGATGAGAAAGTGAAGTTAAAGAGAAGAGCAACAGAGGTAAGACAAAGAGAGTTGGTGAAGGCTCCACACACACAGATTATATATATATATATATATATATAAAGCTTTTTTTTTAATTCATATGAGACAATACAACTTAAACTATGTTAAAAATCTAAATAAGTAGTTAAAATTCATGAATGAACTGCGGTTACATAATTAACATTCCTTACCCGAGTACATCCACTTGAATCTCACGGGCTTTGATTTCAGCTCTACAATTCTAACGTCTCCGTTTTTTAATAGGAGCAGATAGGTTCGCCTATTGGCCGGTTTACACTCCTTCCCAGTCTTGACAAGGATTAAAGGTTTATCTCTTGTTACCTTTTTAGGATAGAGTTTCTGGTGCCTTCTTATAAATTCTTATTCTCTTTCGCTCCCAGTATCTCATTGCGTCTTAGAGGCAATATTGCCTTGCTTGGAGTGAAATAATAAAAATAAAATTATAAAATAAAATTAAAAGTAAGAAAAAAAATAAAAAAAAGTAAGAAAAAAAAATAAAAAAAAGTAAGAAAAAAAAATAAAAAAAAGTAAGAAAAAAAAAAAAAAAAAAGTAAGAAAAAAAAATAAAAAAAAGTAAGAAAAAAAAATTAAAAAAAAGTAAGAAAAAATAAAAAAAGTAAAAATAATAAAATAAATAAAAAATAATAAAATTTAGGGTATCAAAACCCGCACAGCTAATATCCGAGAAAAAATGTGTGGGTAGAAGAAAGAACCTTATTCAAGCCTAACGACGGAAATCTTCGACGTGACTGGAATAAAAAAAAAAACAACAAAAAACAAAAAAAAAAGCACACACACAAAGAAAGAGACTGAATTAGAATCTGAGGTTAGGCGCCCATGTGCCATTGAGTGAATCGATTTCTAAGAATAAACCCGAAGAAAAAAAAAAAAAAAAAAAAAAAAAAAGAAAAAAAGTACGACAGAAAATGTTCAAGCTGAAAGAAAGGTTTGTTTCCTTTCTGTGTATCTTAATAGCAATATTTTTTAATGCTCTTAAACACTGAATTCCCGCTTCTTTTTACAGCGGCTACTGAATATTAACAGAGACAACTCTCTCTACATGAAGACAAATTAACGACAGCTTTTTTTCTCTGTGCCGTGTTCCTTCAAGACATGGGATATCCGGGCTATTCACAACTGCCGAAACGTTACAACTTTAAACAATTTCTGTTCCCTTAACATCACTCTTGCCCCCCTCAGCCATCTATTTGCTAAACTTGTCCTGTAATTTATTCAGTTTTTCACCGCCTCTCTTGCCTTCAGTACAGGTGCGATGGATAAATTGTCGTCTAAATTAGGCAAAAATGGAAACACTAACATCTTATTTTAACAGATATAATTTATTCAATAAAATCGACAATGGCTTCAGCCACAGCCTAAAGATGACTTCGGAATGTCCTGTAACTCTTCTGGACGGTCTCCCCGTTAAAGTTGGTGACTGCTGCCATAATATTTGCATTCAGGTCATCTTTACTGTTGCAAGGAGTTTTGTTGGTCTCATCTGTGTCACACAAATAATCATCAAGTGGGTTGCAATCTGGGGAGTTAAGTGGCCAGATGACTGGGATCACCTGCTTGTGTGGCATGGTGCAGAGTCCTGTTGCCAGACACAGGATCTTCCAGCAGCCACCCTCTTGACCCAGGTCAGTACTATCTTCACAAGGTACTTGATATAGGCCTCCGTGTTGAGTTTGAGGCCCTGTGGGAAGATAATAATGTCGCCATCACGAGTGACCTCTCCAAACACCATGATATTGATTGGATATACCGTCCAACTCTTTCCGAATCCTCTTCACTGTCCTCAGATTGACACTCAAATACTCTGAAATGTTGGTATTGAAACTTTCGGCACGAATGCCAAGCAGTACAGCGTGCCGTTTCTAAATTTCTGGCGGAGTTAATTGAGTCATGGTGCTCGTTTTCTCAAAGGCGGTGCCCAACTGAATCTACTATACTGCGCAGGCGACAAAAATAAAAAAACAAACACGCAGGCGCGAAATTTAAAATATAAAATGGCAACAATTCATCCATCTCACCTTGTATGTCTTGTGAGTGTCAAATTCTCCAAGTCCTCCTTCCTCGTTTGTCACAGGAATTTTAACTATCTTTTTTCTGATTGTATGTGTCCTTTTCTTTACAATTTTCCTGAAAGACTTGCTCGTATGTTTCTGTCAAAATATTCTCCGTATCTAATTGAAGGAACACATCTCTTCAGGTCTTCTCTTCTTGTTAATACAAACTTCTTGAGTACTCTCATAGTCATAGGTCCAATTGAAACACCCCTGTACGAGTAAGAAACTTCAAATCTACATTTTAGTTTTCATAGTGTCTTAATATGTGATTTTCTTATAGGATTATAAGGAAAGGGTTTGTTAAGGCTTGGGTAAATGCTTGACAGGTAACATATTGTTCTCTTGATAATTAAGTGGGGGGGGGCAGGCTGAGAAGGCAGAGACACGGAAAGAAATACAAGTACCAAAAACTGAATAATGACGAGTGACGCCACTGCCTCCAAAACAACAGTATAGCGTACGGTACGTAATTTCCGCAAGAAAATGCGCCAATGGAACGTTTTTACAAGACACCGTAATGTCTGCAGATTATTTAAAGCCAGAAAATATTTTGCATTCTAAGATGTTTTTTTGGAAATAATGATTTAGTGATACAAAGCTTACTAATTAACCCACAGCCGGGGGTGAAATGGATTCATATCGTTCCCAAAGGGTATTTGCGCGTCGGTGAATGTAACGAACTCGGTTCTTCAATTAACAATTCCGAGCCATTATCCGGTACACCGCACGCATTATCTAAGTTTACAGCACCTCGTATTTCCAAGCAGTCGTCCATCTAAGTACTGAACAGGCTCGACATTGCTTAATCTTGACGCCATTATCCTGCTGATAACGGAGAAACACGGATGTGATAGACAGACATGTCCTCACGCGACTAGGGGCCACTTTTTCGTTTGTAGCGATATGTGTTGGCCACAATTCTTTGTTTCTTTGCTTCTGATTCCAAACTTCCTTCGTGAAAAAAAATCAGAAATTTGTTTTTGATTTCGCTAAAAGAATATGCTATTTCACAAGTTCAACCTCAATGCCAAGTGGTGATTTAAATTTTTTTTATAGTTCTCTTTACTTCCAGACGAGGAGGAGACAGACTTTTATAATTTTCAGATGTATACTTGTCTATATTCTGTTAAATCTGGTATCTTCAAATTAGTGTGGTCAGAGTTTATATAGGATTCGAAGAGTCTGGCCAAATTTCTGGGACGAGTAGTTATTATTTATACTATTTGCATGCGGACAATTGATCTCGTCTTTGTTGTTGTTATAACAACGTTTCGGTCGTTGTGCCCGATGGCCTTCATCAGGTTTATGTAGATCCGAGTAACCTACAGTGAATTCCAAACTAAATCTTCTGTTTTATCTACGGGGGTAGATTGTTCTTATTCCAATACCCGTGTCTAGGTATATCTTGTTTTAATATTGCGCAGTTATTGCTCATCCCTTTCTCTGTAGGTTACACTGATCGACATACTCCTCATGAAGGTTGGATGATACCACGACCGTAACCTTGTGATATTAAGTGCGATTCGAAGTGTTTTGTTTTTAGGCCAAGATATATTTTCTGATGAGATTGTATGATATTACCGTGATTTATTTTGCTTTTCATCAACAGTTAACAATCTATGCTGTTTGGTTTCATTAATTTGGATTCCAATTTCTCGAAGATTTTGGATTCCAATTTCTCGAAGATATTGGTTTCTTGGAACAAACTATTTTTTTTTTATTTTCTTTGTTAATTGTTTAGTGCTCTCGCTTCCATTCTTTTTTTTTTCTTTCTATCATGTTTTTTTTTTTTCAACTGAGAATTGTCATCACACACGAGTATGATTGGTCGACTAAGACATTAAATGTCCCATGGGCTAACGAATTTCTATTTCGTATATCCGGGCATATTTGAATCACAAAATAAAGGAAAATATCCACAATAACAACCTCATCGGATATCGCAGGAGAAAATACAAGTAAATTCGATGCTTTAATGTTTTGTTTTACGTCGTGTT